TCTGCAGCAGTAAGATTACAAATTCATTAAAACACATTAGAGCTCATCCTATAGAACTTTAAGTAGACACAAATATGGGTTTCTGGTTCTGTATGCAAAGTGAGTATTCATATTGCACTGTGGCCAACATTTAATATCCACACTACAGATAGGATATAAAGGGACCATGCCTAGGTCTGTACTGATGCTAGAAAGAAATAATGACTAGTCTTAAGTCCAGAATTTTATTCGGCCCAGCTAAGTCGTCCTATTAAATTGTGTAAGATATCACAAGCCTTTCCACCAATAGAGCTCCTATGTTCCTGACCCCTTGATAAATGGCTTCAGCAACTCCACCCATATTGAATAGATTTGAGATATAGTGATCTAGGGTTCCATCCACCACTTGGGTCTTCACTGCTGCCTAGGATACCAGTGCAGCGGCCTCTTCTCACTTCCAGAAGGGCTTGACAGTCCAAGGATGGCATTTCAGCTGAAGTACTTGTACCACTATTCCAAGTGAGTTATCCATAGAGTTTAAAAGGGCATGAAAACCATGCATCATGCATCTTCTAGTGAATTGTACATAGGAAATTATGGAAAACTCGCATGCTAGGGACACAAGTAGGTCAGCTGAAAAGTTGAACTCAGCCCATCATCGTGGTGCCAGGTTCCCACAGTAGCTCAGTGGGGGGATTGAATCCTCTCTGCCACCATCCTAAACAGAAATCCATTTTTTGAGTAGCATTACAGAAGCCAATCACAACGCAGTTCTTGAAAATGTACCATAGTAATGGAAGGAAGACACAGCTTGGCCCATCTATATTCATACCGCAAAGCTTGCATCCGTACTTGTTGCATGGCTAAAAGGTATGCAGGCTAAATATACGAGGACGAAGGCATAGCTAGAAGGTATGCAGGCTAAATATATGAGGACGAAGGCATAGCTAGAAGGTATGCAGGCCAAATATACGAGGACGAAGGCATAGCTAGAAGGTATGCTGGCCAAATATATGAGGACGGAGGCATAGCTGGAAGGTATGCAGGCCAAATATACAAGGACGAAGGCATAGCTAGAAGGTATGCAGGCCTCGCAACTGCTACCAAATCCATGACATCCCTGCAGCCCCAAATATGCCAATCTCGCCAACTCTACAGAATAAAAGCAGAGCTTCCCTTTCCATTTAGTAATTTGCTGTTTGAGCTAGTAGTAGGTTAAGTGATGGTTGGAGATTTTTCTATTTGATATGGGAGGGCCTGTGCTCAGATTCTGTACTCAAGCCCCAAAGCTATTAGATATGAGATAATGTCCTAATCCTGAGAGGATACATCTTCCAGCTCTGCCTTGCTGTCAGTAATTGGGACGCGCTGTCAGCCACTCCTCAGCCTGAAATGGCCGATTACAAAGATGAATCGTCTTGCTCGAAAGTTAAAAGGTAAGTTCCATTAGCTCAAGTCCTCTACAAGGGCAGCCATAGACTGGTAGGTCCTCCAGATGATTATGGAAGTTATCGCTCCCTAGAAATAATCAATCATCGAGCACCCCTAGCTTGCTGAAAGTTCTGGTCTAACAAAGCGAGGTTGAGTCAGTTTAGTCACACTATACTCTACGCATGGCACAGTTATCACATGAGCTGTATACATCAGACACATAGCTAAGGGAAAGGTATGGCAAGTCTGACCTACAGAACTGTGAAGGGAATGAAGAGCTCTCTCATAGACTATAAAATTTATTGAAAAGGGACGGTTCAGTTAGCTTATAAAGTCAGCACATCCACATTTGGTATTTTATTGGAACCTGGTCAGCTGATTCATCCACTCTGGAGTTCTTACAGCAGATATCTGCCCTTGTGTTCCCAGCTCCGCCCACCCACCACAGCCATTGTGGGAAGAGTCTATAGGATTTTTAATTTTTTTACATACTCTAGAGCATTGGTTCTCAAACTAGTGGGTCGCGACCCCGTGTTCAGTGGTCGCCACGTACCTTCCACTTTTCTAGGTAAGAGGCTCCTCAGCCTCCCCCTAGCGCAGCACTGTCAGTTCTCACACCGAACAGCCATTAAAAATATGCTGCCCGTTGCCAAGTGTCGACTTGAGGTGAAGTGGGCTGGGGGTATGGCCGTGAGGGAGCTCCATCCATACGTGCATTGCTTACAGCTCCCTCGTGTGCCCTGTAGAGGTGCTTGGACTGGACTCACCTCACATTCTGGCTCCTGGCACCTCTACAGGCACGCATGCGAGCTGTACAAGCACATATGGATGGAGTTCCATCACAGCACAGCAGCCCACAATGTCATGCGTTCCATTGCAGTGCGACTTAATGACCGAGGACAAATGTGGATCCTGAGGTTGCACAAGTTGAGAACCCCTGATCTAGAGGGTGTCAGACTGACAAGTTTATCTCACCCCGATGCTCCCAGTGGGTAATTCAGGCAATCAGCATCCATGGATCACTTGAATATCAATTTTGGGTGAACTAACCCTTTAAAAAGGGGCAAGTCAACCAAAACTAAGTATCCCGAAGAAAGTGGACAGCACATAATGTCTAGAGACTCCAGTGATGAGATTGCTGAACTTGGGTTCCCGGGAATGCCTCACTCTGAGAAGTAATGGGTCACACCCTCCCTGGGCAATTGTTTTCATCAATGCAAACACCATAGCTGGCTGGAATAGAGCCAAACCAATGGCAGGCAGATTTCAGCTCTAGAGTCCCTTAATGATATACAACAGGAAGTTACTCAGCTGGTCAGACCCAAACTTTGATTTCGAACTTTACTTTTCGATGGACTGACCCTTTAAAATCCACTGGTCCTTTAAATGTGAGCATGCGCTATATGATCATACAAGATAGGTAATGGTTTACACAGCAGGTGGTGAGGTCTAGAATTAACAATATACTAAAGTATATTAATCTTTAAATCCATCAAATTCCACACAGAAGTAGACACAACATTAGACCTGCATACAATCATGTTTTTGGTTAATATACCCCATTGGTTTCACTCCTACCGCCCTTCTCAAACTGTTGAAAAGATAAAGAACAAATTAAAAAAAAGCTAAAAAGTGGTTAACCCTTTCACTGCAAGCGATTCTGCAAGACATTTCAAGGCAATCTTCCTTGGCAGCTAACGGGCCAAACAACATAATTTGGTAAGCATCCCCTTTCACAGTATCATCTTTCTTTTAACCCCCGATTACAAATCTTAACTTTTTTTTTTCCCCATCACGTCTAAAGCTAAAGCTAGAATGAGGCCCATGTCCCTTTTAAGAAAGTTCCAAGTTCACTTTTCAAAAAGAAAAAAAAAAAAACAGCTAGAAAAACAAATGTTAAAAAAGGATAAAGAACAAGGAAAAAGAAGAGTTTCTTGTTTTTTTGGTCTTGTTTGGTTCCTCTTTTTTTTTTTCTTTAATCCATCTTTCTGATAAAGTCCTCCACCTGTCGTGGACATTTTTGGTATGCGGTTTGTTCCCCCTCTCTTTACATGGCGCTTTCTCTGAAGGTTCGATAAGTCTATAGGTTTTTTTTTTTATTTTATTTTTTCAAAAACACTTTGGCACTGAGAAAAAAACAAGAACTTTCTTTGTAAAACCCACAAATAAAAATTAAAATGGAAAAATAAAATGAGAAGTCTTTAAAGAGGCCGTTAAAGCTTTTGTTGACGTGGATGCAGGAGGGACAATCTCAGCTCCTCGCACCTCACCGAAATTTAAGTGTTTTTTTTTTGGTTTCAACAACATTCCCTCCTTGAGATTCATTTCAATAAGATCGGCTTCTTCAGATGAGGTATATAAGACAGAGAAAGACGCGCCCCTGCAGCCCTCACCCTTTTAACCCCCCATTTTATCATCATCCACGGGTGTCAGGGCACAGAAGGAGGGGGAACGTAAAAATTTTTGGTAACACTATTTCTTGGTATATATCCTCACTCTGCCAACACTCAAGAGTCTGTACTTTGGCACAGCGTCAGCAAAGATCAAGTTCTTGTTTGGTTGTTTTTCATCTTTATTTTTGGTATCTTGGTTGTGTTTGTTTTGGTTTCATTTTTGGTTTGGTTTGTATGTTTTTTTTTTTTGGTATTTTTTTGTCCATCCGCGGAAAAACGTGATCCTGGATTTTTTTATCCCATGAAACACA